AATACATCAGTTCTTTACAAATCAAACACATTTATAAGCTATATATATTATTTTTTAAGAAACTAAAATATTATATATTGTTAAATAAATAAATTTTTTTTGGCATAGTAATGAAATTTCAAATGTCTGAATAAAGTTTTAATTAAATATCTGGAGCCAATCTTTTGGCCATTCAATGTGGGCAGTGATGTCAGAGATCTGAAATATACATCATCATATTTTTAAAAGAAAATTCTTATCTGATTCAATGAAATGTTTGATACTTCACTGAGTCAATTAGAAAATTCAAAGGACAATTATAATATGTGACAGCAATGATACACCAGCATCTACATTGTAGCAGATCGATGTGAGCCATGTGTAACATGAATATATATATTGACATATTTTTACAATATAATATTTTAAAATTAAATAATTAAATAATATAATAATTATAAAAAGTAAATATAACAACAAATATAAGATTTTTATCCACATCAGCTACATGAATTTTTTTAGATGTATGTCTTTTTTTTTAGAGTAAAATTCTCGTTTAAATATAATAAAGATATGTTATTTTTTAGATTTTCTAATTAAATCTTATATATCTGTTTTTCTAACTGAGGCTGCCATTTTATGTGAAATATTTTTATACAATATGAAATTTATTTTAATTACTCATTAAAATATATTTAAATGCATAAATTACTAGTTACAAGTTTAGAAATTAGTTCCTTAGTAAGAAAATAGAAATTAACATTATAAAAAAATATTAAAATAGATATTAATTAAGAAATAAAATTAATTTACGTAGTTATTAATTAATTAACTAATATAGTTAAATTAAAAGAGAATACATAGCTAAATGTACTCATATAATATAATTTTAAAATTAAAATTTATCATTCAATATATAATATCGAGCATACGTTTCATTAAATATTTTTTTTTATTAAATAAGCAGATGATTTATCTTGTGAAGTAAATATGCATGTCTTACATATATGACTTGACACACATCTTTATTATGAAATGTCATACATCATAATGAAGGTAGTTAAGTACAAAATAAAAATTTTTAGCATTCAATTCTTTGAGCCTATCTATTATTTTTCAAGTTGATAATTTCAATAAAATAGTAAAATTGATCCAAGATGGTTTTATTTGATTAATTTGATTTGATTGTTAAAATATCGATTTGATTATTGGTTATAAGGCTAAAATGCTTGTTTCCAAAGAAAAAAATGATCTCATTGCATTCTCAATCTCAGCTTTCACTGAAAAGATCTTATCAATAGATAAATTCTCATCCTTCGCCGACTCCCCGTGAAGGGCAGACATTACCCGCCTTGCTCGGGCTTTCCCCATCTAAGTCGAATTTCCATTCCAGGCCGTCTTAAATGATGAAACTTTTTAAGACTTCGTTTGACACAATTTTCATATTTTTTTCTAATAACTTTTTAAGAAAAAAATATTTTAAAAAAAATTTGTACTAAAATATTATTTTAGAAAGCGCAAAGAAAATTGTCCCAAACAAAGTCTAAAAATCTTAAACTATTGCCAAAATTATGTTAAAATTATATCACTAAAATTTAAATAAATTACGTAATATATCTTGAGCAACAATTAAATAATTTAATTATTCTCATCTTCAATATCTTTTCAATTATTTTATAATAATAATAAAAAAAAACTAAATTCTAAAATGAGTAATTATATGATGGGCCCGGGACTGAAATCGATGCAATGCTTTAAAAACTTTCTATTAATTCTATGCTTTATCGTCATCATAACAATTCTGTAGCCTCACATCTAACAAGTTCCTCTCTACTATTTTCCTTATTTTCCTTTGTACGTGCAAAGCCACATATTTTGGAATTACTTACTGATTTAAATCATAATAGAAAATTCAAGTTTATTTCATTTTTTAAATTGCTATATTTAATATTGGCCGGATGTAAATAAATGTTAATCTCCAATATAACTGTAAGGATGATCTAAGACAATAAAAACTAAAATAAGAATAAACATCATTGAAGGTGTCTTATAATGATATGTGACATGGCTATCAATGAATCTGGGTAAAATAATATCTAAACTTGATCCTAGTTTTAAAATTTAGTTCAGTCAATATCAAATTTTAATTATTATATATTTTATAAGTGGAATCTAATTGTGTCGATCAATCATGATATATTTTTGCCTCAAACCTCAATTTATAGTCATTCAAGCTCATCGAGGGTTCTCCCCCTGTTTTGGATTCAGAGGTCTGGGTATCCTAGTGTTGCGGCACTGCAAAGTCTTGTTGGAGATAGACATACAGTCAAGCTCAAGCAAGACAATTATGCCAACTAGAATGTAGATTGAGAGGGGAACGTCGTGATACTCCAATCTCAAAGTCGTGGGGCTGTGAGTTGAGTTGTGTAGTTTTCTTTCTTGTTTTTCCAGCTTAACTTGAATGGTTTTGTCACTTTGGGTTATTATGTGCATCTCTTTGCCTATTATGTATAGATAACGGTGTAATAAGTGAAGGAAGACTAGAAGAGACTGCAAGAGAAAGTGTTATGAATAAATTCTTTCAAATTTCATAGTTGATTTTTTTGTGTGGTATGACTCTAATTTTTTATTTCGTTTTGAATTTTTACACTTTAAATCTTAATGTTCTTTCTTTTTTCACCTCATTTTCTCTTTTTTGTTTCGTTCATTATGTGGTTTACTTCTCCAACAACTAGTATCAGAGTCATACTCATCAGTTCGAGTGAGAATGATGACTGATGAAATAAGATACAAGATTAAAAAGTTTAACGGTTCGAATTTTGCATTCTGAAAAATTGTTGCTCATATGTTTTCGATGTTGGAAAGAATAACCAAGAAATTGGATTCAATAACTACGAATGAGTGGGTGTGTGATGCCCTAGAATAAAAATAAAAAGAATTATATCTTTTTATCTTCTAATTAATCTATCATAACCACTAATTTAATTTTACATTAATATAAACAACAAAATATTTGTAGATCATATCATCCATCAATATATATCTTAAATCAAATTTATATACAATAACCGGAAGTTCAATCTAAAACATCAGGCTATCACTTAACATTTTTGGTTATAAAAAATAAAATAAAATCTTGAAAAGTGAACTACTAAACCTACAACATCAGACTTTGATCAATCTAACTCTATTGGTCCCCTTCCCAGACTTAAAATCCATCAAACTATAATAATGAGCTTACAAACTCCAAAACTACCAATTCTTTCAATGCAATATCTCGAGAGTCAATATACATGCTCATTTCAATCACTATAAAATCAATAACGGTAGCTATCCATATGAGCAACAATTAATTACTAGTAATACGAATCAATATGATTGGTAAACAGAGGAACCAGAAATCATTACACATAAATCAAGAAGCAACTTTCTTACTATTTTTTAAAGCAATTCTTTCGCACAAAATTTTCTTGAACTAAAAATTTATATACTATGAAATTGTTTTAGAAAGCAATGAAAAAGCTGCCCCAAACAAAGTCCAAAGCATCTTAAGATCTTTGAATATTACTTACCCCTCCAACAATTCAAATCATATTTTTAAAAAATAAATGCTACTAAACAAACATCTTCATAAAAAATGATCACAGAAGCATTATTCATAATATTAAAAACCGTGGCTAAAAATTAAGAAAACAAGGACAATATTTTCAAGCACGGTTATAAAGAAAACTGATAAGAATGATCATATATCTAAGTCTAAAATATTTTCAAGCATAGAGATTTTTGGACCTTAAATGATGATAACATCCCTCCTTATAGCCCCCTCTTTTTGGGGAAATTATTAGGCGTGGACACCAGATGTAGTGATGCGTTCGGAATACTGTGTATCATTTGCTTAAGCTCTGCCTACGCTATGCGTATTTACTGTGTATATAATGTGTATTTGTAGATATGCAATAAATAAGCAGCAAATATTTAGTTGTGAAGATTTGCTGCTTATTTTCATTGTATCTACAAATACGCAGAGTGCAAGCAGAGCGTACGCAGAATGTAAACAGAGCGTGCGCAGTGCATCCAGTAATCCGGACGCATCTTTACGTCCAGTGTTCGCACCTGATAGTTTCTCCTCTTTTTGGATGGTCTTTGGGCAACCACGAGAGTCGGTCCTGCAAATTTTGGTTCCAGACTTTAAATGTTGGGCTTTTGGTTTTTCCAAAATCTTCTTTTTTTGAATCTGCTGCGCTAGCTTCTTGACCACTTCCCTGGTTTTTAGGCAGTTGTGTTTTTTGACAAACATCCTACTGATTTTGCTCTTTTTTACTTTGTAATCTCCTCATCTTTGTAACCTTCACGATTTGTTAGAAAACTGTAGTCATGAGTTCATATTGATTAACACGCATAAAATAAGTGTCCATTCAGCTCAAAACTTCAGAAGTGGATGTCATATTTCCGTATTTCCAAAGTCTGAAAGTTAAAAAGACCGAATGGGTGGCAGGACAACAACCCTCAGTCTCTGTAGTTAGGGTGCCTGTCCAGATATGGGGATTAAAGTTAGGTGCACCAAAGATCACCATCATGTTTTGATCCCTATCAAGCAAAAATAAAGCTAATTTGGGAGACATGTAGCATTAATACCAGATGGGCCTGAGGAAATGACACTTCACCTAATATGTACTTGACCTGGACCCACCACTAAGAATGTTCATGGTCCCTTCATACTACTTGGAGGGTAACCTAAAAAAGTTCTTCTTCCAACCATTTAATTCATAGCTAAGAATACTCAGTGATCAGTAGCTGTTACAATTTAAACCCCTCATAGTTTTCTGTTCTGTACAGTTTCAAGTTTTTTTTTTAGTGCTAATATAAAATTTAATAAGAATGGGATTTTAATCCAAGATCTTAATAATCTAAACAATGACACCGACGTATCAAATGAATTTGTTTTCTCTTATCATGAAGCACCAGTAATTAATCTCCAGTGGATTCTCATAATTGCCCACTGTTGGTAGGCGTTTTCTGTGGTCAGGGGAGACCCCACTATGGAGACCTTTATGGAGAATTGTTAGGAAAACCTCGCACAGTGATTTTTTTTTTTTTCCTTGCATGGCACTCTAACAAGATCAGTGGACCCCATGCATGTGAGCCCAACACAAGAGTTTCAAATTAAATGATTCATCATTCACACGCTTATAACTCACGTGTGTATTTAGTGAGATCTAACATGTCTAAAATTCAAGAGAGTGGTCTTATACTCTCTTATATAAGAGAAAGATTGTTAAGACTTGACAAGAACTTGAATAAATTTCAGATCAATTGGTTGGAGAATGTATTGGTACAAAAATACCGAATAGTTATATCTTATTCATAAGCTAAAGGTTTTTTTTATCAAAAAGCTTTCATCATTGTTACATCTAACCAAACTTTAACCTCCATTGATTAACTACCTAATGATTGCTAGTCTAACCTCACAAGTTTTGAAGTGTACAAACTATAAGCTAATCCCCTCCCCCAGGTTAATTGATACTTTCAAAAAGTATTTTTTAACTTGATGCAAGCAAATGAAACCCTGGTTATATTATCTGTAACCAAAATAGTAAAAGAAATAGGATTTGATGGAGAGGAGAGAAAATACACTGATAAAATATGTGAAAACAAAAATATCATTTGGTTATATGTAATTAAAAATCAACATTAAACTCTATAAATCCTCATAAATATAATGATTTTATTCTGTACCAAATAAAAAAAAAGAGTGACGGCAAAAAAATATCATTTTCTATTAAACGTAATCAAATGACCCTAAATGCTAATTTGATTTATTTAAGTTTGAAAGCAGGTTCTGAAGAAAAAAAATTATTACATTTTCATTTGGTTAGATCTAATTAGAACAGTTTTTAATTTTAAACTTAAAAAATCTCCTCAAAATAGTCTCAAATACCATGCTTTAATTTTCACACCAAAATATAGAGAAAACGATCAAAATGATTCCTTAACTTTTTGTGAGAGATCAAAATAATCCAACACTTTTAAGGGACAAATTTAGCCACTCAGTTTTTTAAAATGGGATATTTTTTAATTCTAACATCTAATGTTGAAGTTAATGGTGTTAAATAAAAGGAAATTATAATATTTTTTTAATTAAACATTTATTTAATATAATTTTTAAGTAATTATAATTATTCTAAAAATATTTATTAAACATATTTAAATAAAAAAATTAATAATAATTTCAAAAATTTTAGCCATACTTTATAAAATATGATATTTATTGATTTAGAGAAATCAAATACAAATAGATGTTATTTTTAACTTAATCACACATATTTTTTCAAATCATATTTTATAAAATAGGACTAAAATTTTTTATATTAAAAATAAATTTATTTTTAAAGAAATGTTTATTTATTTTTTTTTAATTTTATAATTATTTGAAATTTACATTAAACAAATATTTAATTAAAAATAAACAAAATACTCTTATATTTAACATCATTAGCTCCAACATTAGATGTTAGGACCAAAGAGATCCTATTTAAAGAGTTAAGGAACCAAATTAATCCCTCCAAAGAGTTGGAGACTATTTTGATTCCTCACAAAGAGTTGAGGAACCATTTAAATCATTTTCACCAAAAATATATATAAAAACAAAATGATCATTTCTATAGTATATTTTCTATCTAAAAGAGTCAGATCAACCTAATTATAATTCACCAAGTTTCTATATGACACGGGTAGTCTTCTAGTTTCCAATATGAAAACCTCTCTATGCTCTTATATGGTAAGATACTAAGATGTGAATCATTAAATATCCCCGATTGCATTGCATGCAAATAAATTCAACATTTAACAGCAAAATTCCAACAAGCTAGCATATAACTAAGGGGAGGACAGCTATACAAAGTTTCACTAATTATAGAAGACTACTTAGGGATATCAAACGCTTAGTACAAAAAACTTGCCAAGAAAACGTCCTCTTTTAAAAAGCAACAAAATAAAAACTATAATTCAACAAAATTTTATAATGTAAAAGAAAATAAAATAAAACACTTAAAAATTGAGAAAGATTAGTACACTTACAACCACTGCTTTAATTAGACCAAATTGGTACGACTAAATAGTCTGGTCCCGCCAAGCTGGTCGGCCAGTTTCTTCAGCTACAAGATGCACAAGAAACTGTCTTTCATTGGCCGAAAGTTGACTCATTTCTGTCGCTTTCCTTCTGAGAAATGTCCCCTGGAATCTAGCAATAGTTTGATTTCGTAAGTGAAAAAAAAAAAAAGGCGTGAGGTTCCTCTAAATGATCAATCTACTCAAGGCCTCTCACCTGTTGAGGCCTTACCTGATTTGAGCTCTTATAAAAATAGGTGTAATACTATTTAAATAAAAAATGCAAGATAACTTTTTTATGATAATTCCCCCCCCCCCCAAAAAAAAAAAAACTTTTCGGGAATTTCCCCCCCCCCAAAAAAAAAAAAAACTTTTCTATGATATATTTTATGAAAACTATTTTTCTGACACCTAGAAATAAAGATCATAAACTATCGATCAGCTTTTGCAATGTTCTGATGATCTGATCATAAAGGGACAAATGGAAGCACAAAGAAATTGGTCATATAAGCTTTTCAGCCAAATATATACATTACATTTTACAACAACAACAACAACATCAAGCCTTTATCCCACTACGTGAGGTCGGCTACATGAATCCTTTTTCTCCATTGTGTCCTATTAAAAGTCAAATTCTCGTTTAAATCTAATAAAAAAAGATCATTTCTAATATTTTATAACCAAGTCTTTTTAGGTTTGCCTCTACCTTTCTTAACATAAGTCAAAACTAATACCTCTATTTTCCTAACTTGTCATCGGAAGGCTGCCGTTTTATGTGACCAAACCATCTAAGGCGACTCTCTCTAATCTTAACTTCTACTGGAGCCCAAGCAAATATACAATTCTAATATACATTACATTTTGATGGAAAAAAAAACTACATTTTTTTTAATGACAGAATATCTTGTGGCTCATATATCAGCTGGCATAGGACTGACTGAAAAGACAGAAGTGCATAAGCCCAAGCAAATAAGCTCTTCATTGGTACAGTTCAACTTTGCAATAGGGGCTGGAACAATAACATGATAATTTTCCAAAGCTGAACAGCTATAAGCTAGTCAAAGAGTGACAGAAATTCTAGTTGGCAGGAGTAAGCTGTACAATGGCTATAGCGTGATCTGTAGCCTCGGTGTCTTACTAGGTGTGGAGCCAATAACTTTTGCTCGTTTACAAGTTGTGCGACTGTATGAAATTTGAACAGGTTGGAAAAGGATTATTTAATGAAAAGACGTTGCACCAGTAAGAATTTCAGGAACTTCCAAGTTACTTTACAAGTAAAGCAACCTATTTAAAGAGATATGATAACTGGTACTACCAAACCTGTTCTTTCAGTCTGCATCAACATAACAAGGATGATTTGATGATAATAAGATGACAAAAGTATCTGCTCCAACATTCATTGTATCGGCCAGTGTCCCAATTTATGATGATATCTGCAAATCATTTCAAAAGCAACACAGAAGTTGATAAGTAATATGTAAGAAATTAAGCAGGAACACCAAGCAAAAATAAATCGCCAACATCAGCAACAATGTTTTAACCGAGATCAAAATTAAAATGATACATATTTCAGTGTCCTCATAGAAGCAAATATGTCATAAAAAATGCTTGCGAATGATCTGATAAACCATGCTATTCCTGCAGGCAGGTTTAAGATAATTAGGGGTGTCAAAATGGATCAACGGGTAAGGTTTGGATCCAACCCGAATTTACCCAGGTCTAAACGAGTTGATCCTAACCCGACCCGATTTTACAAATGGGTTAGGATTTCCAACTTAGACCCGACTAGTGTGAGTTACCAGGTTGACCCGACCCTACCCGAACCTCGAACCCTAACATGGTTGCCTCGCTGAGGCCTGTGGTGCGGGATTGCGCATTTGAGCTGTGGCGTTGTGTCGACTGTCGTGACTGAACTGAATGTCGGATGCGAGGCCGAGGCGAACCGCTAGCGGCCAGGCTGTGTTGCCCGAGGTGAGCGTCGAGCCCACTGGCGAGCCTGCGAGCGTCCAAGGCAAGCAAGACTGGCAAATGGCGAGCATCCGAGGCGCGGGTTGCACCGTAGCGACAGGCTAGGTTTTCTCCTTTCGGGTCAACACGGGTTGATTTCGGGCTGCCAGGTCAACCTAAACCTCATCCGGTTTTAGAAATGGGTTGGAATATTGAACCCCAACCCGACCCGTAAGGCAAACGGGTTGATCCAAACGCGGAATTTTTCGACCAGGCATTTTCTGGGTCGGGTTTAAGGCTTTCTGCGACCTGAGTTAGGGTTTAAATGAATGTTACATTACAATTGAATGATAAGGTGCGGATTGGCTTAAAGTCTTGCGGTTATTGACAGAAGATAAATTTTTAAGGCATGCCATTCCACTGTAACTTGAGCAAAAAATTTTAAACACAGCTTCTCTGAGTGTTTCAAAGGTCATCTGAATTTGAGAAAATCAAATGTTCCAAAGCAAGAGGATCGTTCAAATGGTCAAACCTTATCTATTCCCATAATGGTTGCTGCTCATTCATCATCACTTCAGGTTTGCTTTAAGAATTTCGAACAAATTGATTTTGCTCGGGATCTTGAGTCTATTGTGCCTACCTTAGTAGCCCTATAACATGGCTTCCACATCTTCCATAAATAAGAGAATAATTATAGCTCTCCAATTGTGCCGATTCCTTCTCTCCTTCTCATTTGTGGAGGCATAGATGGTCATGGTGATCAATAACCAGATGATTCTAATGGAAATTCTAAATGGGTGATATAATCAGAATAAAATATATTGTCATTCTCCAACTTTCACTAGACTTCAAAATTGATTCAATTGAGCTCTTAATCTCCTTTTTTCAGTATTATTGGATGTCTCATTCTTTTGCTTCACACTTTATGTATTTATTCTTTTGCTTTTTTGGTACTCTGACAATTCAATCTAATTGCCGTTGTTGTATCTCACCATTTTCTTATTATAATATTATGTTTGAAAAAAATAATTTGAATTCAATTAAAATCAACAAGAAAATATCATTCATATTATTATTACTATTATTTTCTTACATAAAGCTAATCGAATGACAAAATTCTGCGGTTTTTCTTTTCATCTAATATCTTGCAAATCGTCCTGAAATATAATCCTCCACCGCCATCATTGTTCCAAATTATGGAAGGAACTTTATATCATTTGAATATATCGCTAGAGGCAATGTTTTTCCTAACAAAATCAAGGGAAAAATCAAGGAGCTGCAAGGAGACAATGTGTCAAAGATATGTTAAAATTGTTAAAGAACATGTGTTGAAGCATTGGAAAAACAAAAAATTAGTGATACGTAAAACATGAGTGAGTTCGAGTGATTTAATGCCAACTTGAAAAAAGAATTTTGATTATGCATCGAATCAAATAAGAAATAACATTCAGGTTGAGCCAATTGATAGATTTTCAACTTGAAATTAATTTTGTGCCAGCTTAAAATTAAGAAATTCATGTTGAATTTGGCTATTTTAACATTAAATTACAAAAATAGGAATAACTATGATTTTTTTTTGGGCCAACTAGTCCGGTTGAATAATATGAATTTACAGAATAAATGAAATAATTTAGAAATAACCATGCAAATACAGAACTTCGGGACTTTGTTACAAAGTCTTATGGCTTACCCAAATACAACCATTAAAAAATGCAAAATGCTTAATCATAATTAGATAAAATAAACCTTTGTAGCAAACTTTCCATCATTCTAGTATCACAGTATAAACTAGAGCAACAAAATGCTAACCTAAAAAGCATCAGCAGGAAAAAATTCAAAATTGAAGCCATAAATAGCTTAGACAAGCTGAGGAATTAAAAGTACATTACTAAAAGGCCAATGAAATATCCCTGACTCCTCTGGGTGACAAAAGTACCAGTACTCTAAATCACTAAACCTCACAACGTAACAGAGAATCAAAATAGGATAAAATTGATAATTCTATCACAAACTACAGAACAAATGATAGTATTACCCTTAATACTCTTCTCTACAAAAAAAAAAAAATCCTAAAACTTGAGAAATTTTCTTTTTAAAGCAAAGCAATTTCTATTTAACATATCAAGTGAAAACTACAAAATGACTCTGAAAGATATCAGAAAGAAAATAAGAAACAAAATGGAAAAAAATACATCAAACACACAAGATGAGGAGCAAAAAAAGTCCAGCAAGTAGGTCACAGAGATAGAAGCTGCTCAAAATTAATTGCAAAGAATAAATTGAACACCTCAGACAAAACTAAAACAACAAGCATGCTACTAAGTTAACGACCCAAACATCAATATGGTACGAAGTAGATGTAGAACTTGAAGAAAACCTTAGCTGAATATTCAATTTCAGCCAAACAGAAATTGGTAACAAGTAAACGATAAAGAAGAACACTTCAGAACACTTTTTATTGGATTATATATGAAGAAAAAAGACAAGATACAAGAGATTTACGATTAGAGAGGTAGATCGGCTCTCTCAAACAACCTAGACGCTGTTAAGAAGCCCTCAGAGTAAAAAAAACTATATTAAAACACAAAACTCAGCAATTGCATACTCTAAACCCTAGACAACTCCCCCTTAAATAGCCATAGAATACAAAATCATAAATAGAACCTTCTTAAAAAATTAAACATAATTAAAAAAAACCTTCCTAAACAATTAAACATAATTTAGGAAACCTTCCTAAACAATTAAATATAATTTAAAAATTCTTCCTAAATAATTAAATATATTTTTAAAAACATCCCTGAATAATATTCCATCTCCTAAGACTCACCTTATCAATACTTCCCTAAATATATTAATTAATTATATCCAATTTTATCAAAACTTTCCCCCTAAAGACTCACAGTGTCCTCAAGATGGGACGAAAGATATTGATTTGGAAGCACTGGACTAATAGCACGTCCATTTTTACTGCTACTAATTGACTCATGCTCTTTTTTAAAGTTGGCAAACATAAAATTGGAATTGTGCTATTAGATAGGTCTCCAACATGCGGTATTTACTTGCTTATAAATGCCATAAAATAAATAATCTTCTGCCTTACTTCAAAATTTATTTTTTTTATGCCTTTCCTTCTATGATGTCTACCCCGCAAACCAATGAGGCAATAGAGCATGCCCAGAAAACCTAAGAGCGGCCAATGATGTCCGTGGATTTGAGGAGATTTTTTGCAATTGTGAAACACAATAGGTTTGCGTGCATATTATTTTTGTCATAGTTATTGGAGACTAGAGAAACAACCTACTTCAGGATTAGGTTTTGTTTCATCCACCAGATGACTGAATAAAAGTTTCAGGGAAGGGAAAAGATTGATAGAATGAAGCAAAAAATTCAAGGCAACTGAAGATAGAGAGATTCTTTGACGTGTAATTTGGATAGGATGCTTCAAAGGAAGATTCTCTGTATAGAATTGGCAACCAATTATCAGGCGTCAAAAAACTCCCGAGCATCAAGTCCATTGATGCAACTGATAGGTCAAAACATTCAGTACGCTCAACATACTTGAAAAGTACAGGTAATAGTCTCCCAATTGCGAGAGATGTTTCAGGAAGCTTATTGTTATCTAAACCAGAGTCATCAGTTATGGTTTCACCAGGATTATTGAATTCCATAGACATCAGTAGGACCATGAGAAAGAATTTAACAGTTTTGTTGAGCTTAGAGACAGCCTGCCCATAGCAAGTAACTTGAAACATGAGCCAGATGTTCTTATCAGACTTATTGAAACAGAAAAGAGCGACTTCTTGTTGCTTCTTTGAGAATGTTGCATGAATAAGATTCTGGAGAGATCAAGCAACATTTCTGCTTATGTTGCAAGTAGTTCCAACAGCTTCTCAGAAGAGTTTAGAAGTGGAACAAGCTAATCTTCTGTAGACTGTATGCATCTGCAAATATGTATAATACTCGGTTCTATGAATGCATCGGAGATTCCATGGCTAGTTACTGACGAATTTGATTTGAGCACCCTTTCATGATGCAATGACATAATAGAAATCAAAGCTTTCAGAGCAAAATTCTTGGTGTCTGCTAAGGATAACATCAGATTTGATGCATGCATGTATAACAATTGTTGCACAAGAAAATATGCATTTGTGATGAAAGAACATCTATAGTTAAGATGTCTACAATATTTGAGACAGAATATAATTCCTCATCCAGAGATGGAGAGAGAAGTAATCCTCAGCGAAGTCGCCAAAAATCTATTGACTCAAGAAAAATGACGCGTCGGCATGAATCCCGCTTTACAAACATAGTATTTCACTCTCCTTGAGGCAGATTGTAATTAACCAAATTTTTCATGAGAGTAGTATCATGTTTTAGTTAAATATGGGTCCTTACTTCCCATGAGCGCAAGCACTCATAGTTAAATATGGGTCCTTAACGCGTAAGAGATAACTCTCGATTAATGAAGAACAATTTTAGGTGTTTTAGTCTCAGTTGTGGGGGAAATTGAGGTAAACCCGATCAAGATCCCATGGTTACGTCGTCCCGGGTATACTATAGGTTTCAGCCTACCAAAACTAGCGATCGTTGATCTTAGTGTCAAGAAAATCTGTTTAACAGCCATAGATCAACTCCTCTCATAAATCCCAAGTAAACTGAAATGATTATGAGCGGTTTGTAATTTTTTATGATTTACATATTTTAGAATACCCAGTAGTTGATTTAGTTTGGGGTTGATGACTTCATTTAGAAGTTATCCATATTTTTTAATTGGTTCGGGGCTCACGACTTCTATGAGAAGTAGCCCAATTGTTTTAGGAGTGGGTCTTACTGCTTTCATTGACAGTTGCCCGTGGAATTCGATTTGTAATGGGTCTTACACCTTATGTTAGAAGTTGCCCAAAGGTTTGGTTAAAAGTTCCTCATTTTTTGTGGAGGTTTTCCAAATAACAGGTCAACAAACTTCCCTTGGAAGATACCTGACTATTTTGATAGATCTTACGGCTTCTGAATTTAGAAGTAGCCTAATGGAGGGTCTTACAACCTAGCCTTATAGACTAAGTGGCCCATTTGTTTTGGTTGAGGGTATCCTGGTTATTGTGGATAGGTCTTACTACTTCTGTGTTGAGAAATGGCCTAAAGGTTTTATTTTAGAATGAGTCTTACAACTTCCCTTTGGAGGTAGCCCATATGGGTTGATTAAAAGCAGGTCTTATTGCTTCCCTTTGAAAGTAGCCCATGTGGGTTAATTAAAAGTGGCTCTTACTATTTCCTTTTGGAATTAACCTATAATTTCAATTATGGGTCTTACTGCTTCATTTAGAAGTAGCCTGTAGATTGATTTAGTTCAGCATTTTTTAGAGAAATTTTCCAAATAGCAGGTCCTCCAACTTCTCTTAGAAGATGCTTGACTATTGTGGTAGGTTTTTACGACTTTTAGATTTAGAAGTAACCTTATTGTGAATCTTACAACTTAGCCCTATAGGCTAAGCAGTTCATTTGTTTGGTTTGGATAGGTCTTACGGCTTCCCTTAGAAGTTGTTTGAATGTTCATTTAGATAAATCTTACGACTTTCATTGAAAGTTGCTTGTAGTTTTTGTTTGAGTTTTAGGGTTGTTGTACTTCACTTAGAAGTTTCACTAACATGTGTGCCTTACTGCTTGACTTAGAAGTGACTTATAGATGGATCTTACAACCTAGCCCTATAGGCTAAGCTGCCAATGGGTTTTGTTTGGATAGGTCTTGTGACTTACCTTGGAAGTTGTCTGAAAGTTTTGTTTTAGAATGGGTCTTATTGCTTAGTTTTAAAAGTAACCCAATTTGTTTTAGTTTAGGGTAGATTACACAATAGTTACTTTAGTTCAGCTTTTTATCGTCTTTACACCATAGTTTCTTTTAGTACCCTATTTTTCTTTCAATACCCTACTTTTTCCTTATTTAAGCTGTTTAGATTTAGTACTGATCAGTTTGTTTCTTACCTGAAGGTATTTGGAGCTTTATAGCTACAGGAGCTTACTTGGAGCATTAGAGAGCTTTGGAATTTGTCTTTTGGAGATTTTTGTTTGATGTTTTTGTGAGTTGTCTTGTTTGGTGTTTTAGTTGGTGTAAGTTGTATTATGATAATTAGTGTGAATGTTTTCTTCTTTCATTGCATTGCATTTTATTTATATTATTTATTCAATCAATTAAATGAATTGTTATTTTACTCCTTGCTTAGGGGCTTTCCATGTAACTTCCAGTAAGTTTCTTTTGTATAACCTGATTTCTTGCAATAGTTGCATCAAAGGAAACACTTGTCTTTAGATTTTGAGGAATCCTTATCTCTTTCCTTTCATATCACCCCTTTGGTTCCAACATTACCCCTTGTCAGCTTTCCTCAGCACGAATGAGAGAGATTGTCTTATTTAGTGAAGGAATCTCCTCTTTGCCAAGGACCTGAACTCTAACCTAGTCAAACTCTGTATTTAATCCTGCAAGGATATCATACTCTCTATCTTTCTCAATAAATCTTTTTAGGATAGTAGCATCTTCTGCACACTTGGTCTCTAAGTATTTGTAGTAATAAAGTTCTTCCCATAAGCCTTGAAGGAGAGTGACATATTCAATCACAATCTTGATTTCTTGTTTTGTGCTTCCAAACTTAACCTTAATTTCGAAGATTTGAGCAGCAACCCGAGCTTTTGAGAATGTTTGCCTAGTGGCATCCCATATTTCATTTGCAGTAGATAGGAACATGAAAGTATAGTTAATTTCTGGAGTCGTAGAATTCCATAACCATGACATAATCATAGAGTCCGCTTCATCCCATTCCAAAAATTATGACATAATCATAGAGTCCGCTTCATCCCATGAGCTCAAGTCAACTCAAGTATACCCTGATTGGATTAGTTTGAGGTATTAAAAACTATCAAAAGTTTAAAATGAAAAAGAAAATAGTTTCAACTATTTTTCATACATTATAAATTGGACATTTTCAATAGTGCATAAATAAAATTATATGTATAAACAGGGAATAATGCATTCATGGTTTTTGGAAAAAAGATTACTATGATAATCATCAATAATGTAGTAATTCACCCAAAAAGTTAATTAAAAAACAACTTCGAATCAAGAGGCAATAAGAACTTCCTTGGTTATTCAAAATCACAACAAATTTTCATAAGGATAATAATCCAACATCAAAAAAATTTCAAGAGCATCATTGCTTTCAAATAGACACTTGAACATTGATTCTTTCAAATAAATGTTCAATTAATATTATTGGGACATTGCTACAATAATAGACTTTTAAGAAACAAATATCAAAACCTAATGAACTGTTCTACTAGCACCAATCAAAAGCTTGGACTAAAAAATAACTTGTTGATATTGGCTCGATGTACAATAATCAACCCTTGCAAAGGGATTTATTGTTGGAACTCAATGGTGAGAAATAGAGGTGGATTCCCGCCAGGGTGGGCGCATTATAGTCCTTTTTTCATATAATCTTTTTTTTTTAAGTTTTAACAGAGAATTTTTTTTATATTATTTTAATTATTTATAATTCATTTCGGTAAATTCTTTTAACTTTTTCTTATCTCCGTGAATCTTAATTTATAACAAAATTGACATTTTGAAGCATACTTTTAGCTAGAGTTGTGATGAAATGGAAGGACGACAACATAATGTGCTTCTTAATATATAAAATAAAGCAGAATACAATTTACCATGCATCATTCGGACTTGTTTAAAATCAGATGAATCATTTACATCTATTCTAAAATAAAACACGACTTGTTTGCAGTTTGATTTGATTGAGTTGAATTGAAAACTTTGCTTTTGCTAATATATTCAATTTAAAATAACAAATTCAACAAAAAAAAAGTTAATTGCCAATGATGATTTCAAACTCGATTGAAAGAAAGTTGAGAGGATATTTGAAAATGCAAAGCTAGGTCCCATAAGGAAAAATTCTTAGCTCCGCCACTGGTATGAAAATAACTCAATCAAGTTGTCTTTAACGTCTTTAACTTAAGCTTTAAATTATCATAGCACTTTTTTTACTTATCTAACCAACTTCTTTTCACAGTGGATCTACAACAAAGCTATCTAGGGTTTTATCCCCTTCAATCATTCAAGTGCCCTCTCCCAATTCTCTAATATTCCTTGCTAGGTACACATTACATCATTAGTCCTCTCGCAATTGAGTTTTCTATCTAGGACAATCGATCTACTTCCCCCTGCCGGCTGTTCAAGTTCGAAACAAATCCGTTCGAGAAAGAAGAAGATCAATGACGGGTCGAACCAACAACCTTATTGTGTAGTTCTTCTGGATGTAGATAGAAAGTCTTTGGCCATACTGGAAGCTGATCGATGACAAATACCTAATGCATCCTTAGTGGATTCTACGATCCCACTGGGATCCTATCAAAGAATAGAAAAAAGTATCACAGTGGCGAGTTTGCAAGGACGCATTTGATCTCAGATTTGGGTCTATGTTTTCTATTTTTTCTAATACTTTTCCTAACTTTTTGGGTCTCGTTCTTTGGATAAAGGACTTTGTTTTCACCTTAATTATTTTATCTTCATTATGTTTGATGATGTATTGATTATTGGTGTGGAAGCATGAGATCCATCAAAATGTTACTTGAGAGCCAGAAGCAATATGTCTATTTACTTCATTTAGATCTAGTTCAATAGAGATTTTTTAGTAATGAATATAAATATTGAGAAAATGCTTGTTTTTCCTATTTTTCAACGAGGCAACCAATCTGGTTGTCATTCCCATGACAATGAATGTTTTTTTTTAAGCGTCAATAATATAATATTATCTTACAAAAAGGCCATTTAACAAATTTTACAAGCTATTTCCAAATCTTATTGTTGAAGCAAAGGATTAAAAGTGTCAACCCCTTACCTCTGCATCTAATGATTGAAAGAATGATGGAGTATCCTGTCCATTTTACCTTGATCTTTGTTTCTATGTTTTCTTGAATTTAGTTCTATATATATTTAAATAATTCCCTTGTATTTGTTGATGCTCATATTCATGATTAATTATTCAGTGCGGTAACCGTACGCCGTTCGGAGGCGAATCAAGACGCGCCACGTTACTTTTTTGTTGTGTACAGGTGCTATGTACCACTGTGTACCGGGTGACATGGCACATTCCGATTCGCCTCCGAACAGTCTGGTGACCACACATAATAATTTCTCCATATTCATACGCAATTTGCACTGTATAATACTTAACAATCAAGAAATGCACTTATTCTCTTTTTTTTCCCTATTATCAATGATGTTTGTTTCATCCTTTTCTTGTGCATGCCCTCCATAACCAACATCACCATAGTAGTGGTACATCCGTTTTTGCTAGCTAAACAACACTTCTATGAAAAATAACTTGGATAAGCCAAATCACTCAAATATTTTGGGTGAATATAAAATATTGGGTCGAAGAGATGCTAATTTTATTGTGGTTGTAGGTGCTTAATAAATTGATCCTACACCTTAGCAAAGAGTTGGTGCCCGCTGATTTAACAATTGCCAGAAAAGTGGCTACAACAAATTGAGGAAAAAGGGCAAAAGAAAGAGAAATGGAGTATGAGGATAGTTCCAAACTTCCAATTAGGTACTGAAAAAGTTAGGAAGTATTGCAAGAAGATATTCATTTATCAAAAAGATAGTCTCGAGCTCAATCATCCAAAGAAAAAGCATAAATTCTGTTTTAGTGGAAAGTAGAATTTGGATGAAGATGATTTAGTTAAAGCCCATTGTACTAGGTTTCTATGACTCAAAAATTCTACAATGTCCATAATCACTGCAAAACTGCTCTTTTGTATTTTAGAGCTTCCATTAATTATAAACTAGAGCATTGAGTTCAAATCATCAAAAGATTCTAGCACAAAACTAAAAAGGAGTCCATGAATATTTATGAAGTAGAGAAGAAGTTAAATAAAGCATTCAAAAGTGTTGACGGGGTTGCATTAACTTAAGATAGTTGGACATCAAACCAATAAACACGGTATATGCATATTAATACCTCTAACATCATGTTGACTTGAAGATGCAAAATATGATAATCATCTTTCTTGATCTTATCCCCAAATAATGCTTTGTGATTGCTCATGCAATGAAGGATGTAATTTCGATTTAGGATACATGATGACGGGCCGATTTGATTGGGGAGAAATTAGGAAATTTTCTAATCAAGAGGGAGCTATTTAGGAAGGTTCTTAATCAAAGGGGAGTTGTTTAGGAAAGTTTTAACTTTTTTAATTCAAACACCAAAATAATATGAATTATGGAAGGAGGAGAGTAAGCAGGTATATTATGATTCCATGCTTAGGAAAACAAATCAAAGCGGCTAACAGTAATACCAGCATTTGCCTTTCAATTTTAAATTCCACCAAGAAAATACAACATGCATAGGCCCTATGAGCATTAAAAATAATTAGAAATACCGCAAAAATATGCTAGGTAGCAAGTGATCCTGAATACTCATTGAGATTAAGAAAACTAAAAGCATAAAACTTACTCTGTTTGGTTCAAAAGACTTGAAAAGAGAAAAGGAAACGGAAATAGAAATCGTAAGTGAATTGAATTGAAATTGGTTTTAACCAAGTTGTTTGGTTGAGAAAAATTTGACTGACAAAAATACCATTTTTTTAATTTGAGTAATGAAAAATTTTGTTTATGTTAAGGAGAGAAATATGAGATATAGCAATGACCCCATAATTTTTTCTTTAATTCCAATGGAAAAACATATTTAGCCACATTCCCAGAGAAATCAAGTAACTATTAGCCACACTGGAACACTGGAACTGAAAAGCCTCCATAAAATTGTAAGCAAAATACATTTACATTATCCCCATTTCATTTAATCCAAGCATACCTACCAAACATACCCTTGGGCACTGTTTGATTTGTAGGAATTGAAGAACAGGAAATGAAAAGAAAAAATGAATTGAAATGAAATTAGATTTTACTAACTTGTTTGGTTGAGAAGAAATCAAGTAAAAAAATATATTTTTTTACTTTTATTTAATAGATGATAAATTGAGCTTTTGTTTCTTGTTATGAAGGGATATGATAGTAACACTTATGATCTAATAAATTTTTCTTCTTAGTTTCCACTAAGGCTGGTTAGGGAATTGATTGTAAATAAAAAAAATGCATTTGTTACTCGGCCATTAATTATATTAAAACTTCAAACTAACATTCCATATGAAATTATAAAAATAAAAAGACATTTGCATTGCCTCCAATTCCTTCAAACCAAAAATACCCTCAAAGAATTGGTAAAATGAATCTTCTATTGTTGAAAACGAAGAAGAAATCTTGCAATCTGAGGATTACTTATTCAAGAAAAAGATTTCTTCGTTCTTCAAATACTCCTCTAACCTGCAGTTTGGCGAAAGGCAGAACCATTAATGACCAAATATTGGAATAGTATTTATGTTATTTGGTAAAACTCCATAAGTTATCAACTGCTTTCATGATGACTTTTTAGAACTCGTCATATAATTAGCTAATCTATGCGGTACAAAACCTACCCTTTGTCCATTCCTTCCGGCAGCTGCGCGATTTGCTCTCTCCTGACCCAGCGGCGCTGAATATTTCTTCATTGAGGTACGCCTCAAAGTCACTCACTTGTCTTCTCCGCTGCCTCGCCGTGCCCTAACCCTCCCTATTCTTCTTCTTTGCTAAATCCCGCGAAATCGACATTCTTCCGTACATCTCACCAGCAGGAACAAGAACTATAATGAAATATATAAATAATTGTGATTAAAGTAAAATATTTTTTATTCATTGCGAGATAATAGTTCATTTAATACGCTGTTAACATCATGCTTTTAGAATTATTAATAAAAAATGTTCTTGTTTTTCGAA